CCATCACTTTCTCTGTCTAAATACCCCTCAGATCCTCCCGATCTCACCCTCTCCATTCCAGCCCTGCAGGAATATCTGGCTCCAGATGGGAGCCACAGCTTGGAAAAGATTCTTTCCCTTCCCTACTTGCTTCCTGGTGATCTGCAACCAGGGAGCTCTTCAAACAAACAACAAATAAACAGAAACATCAGATCATGCCATCCGTCACTAGCTTCCTGCCTCTTTAAGGATAAAAACCTCAGGATGGCCCCTGTCCACCTGCACCCTCCTCTTTCTCTCCTGCTGGGCAGACTTTGCTCTCCTTTCTGGCCTCTCATAGGCATGGTGCCCCTTCCTACCGCAGGGCCTTTGCACAAGCTATTTCCTGCCTAGAATGCTCTTCCTGCCCTCTTTGGCTAGATAAAGCTTTCTCAAGTTCCAGATCTCAGCTCAAACATCATTTCCCTAAGTGTTGTGGGTTGAATTGTGTCCCCCCAAAATGCATGCTGAAGTCCTAATTCCCTGTACTTACGAATGTGACCTTATTTGGAAATAAGGTCTTTGTAGATATAATCAAGTTAAGATGAGGTCATGCTGGAGCAGGGAGGGTCCCATCCAGTGACTGGTGTCCTTATAAGGAGAGAGATATGTGGACACAGAGACACAGAGGGAGACAGAGGGAAAAAGGCCATGTGGTGGTGAAGGCAGAGGGATGCGTCCACAAGCCAGGGAATGCTAGGGATTGTTAGCAGCACCAGCAGCTAGAAGAGGCAGGAAGGCTCCTCCTGAAAGCCATCGGAGGGAGCACGGCCCTGCCAACACCTTAGCATTGGACTTCCAGCCTCCAGAACTGAGAGAGAATACATTTCCGCTGTTTCAAGCTGCTATGTTACTTCAACCCTAGGAAACTAACACACTTAGCACGTCTTTCTTCATGCCTTCAACTAGTACCTCTGAAATGCTTGTCACGGTTGTCCTTTATATATTGTTGGTGTCATTTAACTAACATCCATCTACCCCACTAGGCTGTAAACTCCATGGGGAGGAATCTCTTCCCCTCCCCAGGGCCTGGTGCATAACATTAGAATAGTTCTTGAATGAATGAGGCATCCTGTGCCTGCCACAGCCAGCCATGCATGTGACACAGGAAGGTACCTAGACAGTGCCACCATCCACTCATAGTCCCGAACACACCACTGGGGTACTGCTTTGGTGATAGCAACTCTGCAAGCCATGTTTCGCTGGATCCTGTCAAGAGCTCTATCAGGCCCATCCCGGCACCATCCCTACTTTACGATGCAGAATTGAATTTTGTTCGAAACTGCACAGC